ATGGTATCTGGATGAGGATCTGCCTCATGAATGCAAGAAGAAAAGCAATGATTTATTGTTGAGTTTTTATCTTAATTTTTTCCAAGATCTGCAGAAGTTTACCAATTGATAAAACATTTTCAACAATAGCTAAAAGTTAATATGCTTAGCCAGAAAGTAGAAGCACTACTGAAATAATACAAGTCATGAATTTGCTTTGGAAGAAATAGATGTGCAGTTGGAGTTAGATTTGAAAATTGAATTGCATAAATAGTTGTGCAGGAAACTTTCAGTCTCTGTTAGGCTATTTTTGTGCAGCAAATGAGCACTAGTATACATGATCGTTCAAGCATCTGCAAAGCTATTTTTGTGAGTATAATAGGCAATGTCACTCCAATCCAAGCTATGCCAACCAAATGAAGTTATAACTACAAATAGATCATCAGCTGACCATAGAGTAGGTGTAAACTCAATCTACAAGATAGTTTTACTACTCTCTCTCTCTCTCTCTCTCTCTCTAAAAGATATATTGAGAGAGAGGGGAATCAAACCTAGGACCTCGGGTGCAAGAATAAATGCTTTTAATCACTTGAGCTATAAGCCCCTTGCGTTTATTTTATTTATTATTTGGGAACATTTATCCAATCCCTTCCCACTGGAGCTAAAGCCGAAGTATCACTTTTCCATTGTTGTTGGAGATTCTAAACTTGCCTTTTAACTGTTTCATACTAAATGAATATTTTTTAAAGTGCTCATGTAACTTGCATGTGGCAGGTTTAATGTCAGAGGGGCACTGCATACAACAGCAGTACACGAGACTTTTTCCCAAAAAATAAGAAAAACACCCTACAACAATAGATGTCACTAGACAAATATTTCCGCAGTAAATAATTTTTATCACAACATTATATTGCTTACAAAGAGTGATTGGGAACAAGGAATAAAGAACAGGGCACAAAATAAGCTGATCTAAGAGTATATAAAAATCACACTGCCTGATTGGCAGTGGAGAACAGTTACAGATGCTGTCAATTTCTGGTAAGGCAAGAACTCTTTAATTTGTGAATCAGGTCTGATAAAACTGGATACTTGACAGGTTTGAGTTTATGTTTCAGCTTCCTCCAATACATTTTTCGAAATCAAGGTTTCCCTCCACTCTTTACTATCGTTCAGTTTGCTGCTCACTTCCGTTGTCGTCAGTTCTGTTTCAAGATCCTTTGAGTCTTTGCTGCTGACTTCCATTGGCCCTGGTTTTGCTTCAAAATCCTTCGAGTGTTTGCTGATCACTTCATTTGGCCCTATTTTTGCTTCAACATCCTGTCGGGGCTTGCTGCTAACTTCCGTTGGCCCTAGTTTAGCATCAAGATCCATAGGGGGTTCGCTATTCACTTCTTTTGGCCCTAGTTTTGCTTCAAGATCTTCTGCAGGTTTGCTACTCACTTCATTTGGCCCAAATTTTGCTTCAAGATCCTCTGAGAGTTTGCTGCTCGTTTTGTCTGGCCCTACTTTTGTTCCAAGACCCTCTAGGGGTTTGCTGCCTACTTCCTTTGGCCCTGGTTTTGTTTCAACATCCTCTGGGGATTTGCAGTTCACTTCCTTTGGCCCAAGTTTTGCTTCAAGATCCTCTGGGGACTTGCTACTCACTTCCTTTGGGCCAAGTTTTGCTTGAAGATCCTCTGAGTTTTTGCTGCTCACTTCCCTTGGCGCTAGATTTATTTCAAGATCCTCTGTGGATTTGTTGCTGTTTACTTCTTTTGGCACTAGTTCTGTTTCAACATCCTCAAGTGGTTTGCTATTCACTTGGCCCTGGTTTTGCTTCAAAATCCTTCGAGTGTTTGCTGATCACTTCATTTGGCCCTATTTTTGCTTCAACATCCTGTCGGGGCTTGCTGCTAACTTCCGTTGGCCCTAGTTTAGCATCAAGATCCATAGGGGGTTCGCTATTCACTTCTTTTGGCCCTAGTTTTGCTTCAAGATCTTCTGCAGGTTTGCTACTCACTTCATTTGGCCCAAATTTTGCTTCAAGATCCTCTGAGAGTTTGCTGCTCGTTTTGTCTGGCCCTACTTTTGTTCCAAGACCCTCTAGGGGTTTGCTGCCTACTTCCTTTGGCCCTGGTTTTGTTTCAACATCCTCTGGGGATTTGCAGCTCACTTCCTTTGGCCCAAGTTTTGCTTCAAGATCCTCTGGGGACTTGCTACTCACTTCCTTTGGGCCAAGTTTTGCTTGAAGATCCTCTGAGTTTTTGCTGCTCACTTCCCTTGGCGCTAGATTTATTTCAAGATCCTCTGTGGATTTGTTGCTGTTTACTTCTTTTGGCACTAGTTCTGTTTCAACATCCTCAAGTGGTTTGCTATTCACTTCCTTTGGTCCAAGTTTTGCTTCAGGATCTTCAGGGAGTTTGCTGCTCACTTCCTTTGGCCTTAGTTCTACTTCATGATCTTCTGGGGATTTTCCACTCACTTCCTTGGGCTCAAGGTTTCCTCCAAGATCCTCCCGGGGTTTGCTGCTCACTTCTTTTGGCCCTAGCTTTGCTTCCACATCCTCTGGGGTTTTGTTGCTCACTTCCTTAGGCCCTAATTTTGCTTCAAAATCCTCTGGCTGCTTGCTGCTCACTTCCATTGGCCCAAGTTTGGCTTCAATTTCCTTGACTGCATGGGTTAATGATCTCACATCTCGAGCATCTGCTAATTGACTGGATGATGATGCCTGTCATGTAACATGAAATGTGCTGGTCTTAGTTAGCAGAGGGACCAAGTATTTGGTATCATTCTAGACAAATAGACAGCATCACAAATACATTGCTAATAAGAACTACAAAAAAAATATGCAGAGAAGCACTCAATTCCAGCATGCATATTCCCAAAAGGTAATCACACTCTTGTCCAAAAGCAATCAAGGAAAATAGTTTTCCTGTTACATTTCTCAATATCCTGAATTAAAAGCTTTTATAAAATCTACATGTGGGTGTACACTACCACAAGTTGTACCACATGTAAAAAATCTTTTGGAAACACCCATATGTAAGAATTTGTTTCACAAAAACAAATTGAAAAGCTTTTGTTCAACTAGATTTCTGCATGGTTAAAAGAGAATAGCAATTACTGGATTGAAGAGTATAACTGAGTCTTAAAACGGCTAATCATAGCAGAGCACTCCCTCGAGCTGTTCTAATGAAGAAAGATGGAAGTATACAGATCCATAAAGATATTGGCAATCGGAATATTTAGTACTTAGCATGCCGCTGTACAAGCAGATTTATTTTTCTTATTCAATGCTTTTAAGTATTTTATATATAAGTTTGCTGATAAGAAATTGCAGATTATTGTGGTAATTTGACCTTAAAATTATTAACATAAATGCAAGGAAAATACCATGAAACTCACTTTTTTCAGTCGCTCCAGCTGTTTTTCCAGATCCTCCACCGATGCTTCCTTGTGAATACTTTGAAGAACAAAAAGCAAGTGAGAATGGAGATCATCTGAATTATGTTGCTCAACTTTACAGTGCGGAACAGGAGATTGACAACCCACCGCATAGAAAGGACAACTAACAAGCTTCATTGGACAGACAGTAATACAATGTCTGTCCATGTCGCGTCTCATGATGGTACTGCAGCAGTTTTGTTCACATGGAATAATCTTGAGGGGGCAAATTGAGTCATGTTTCTCCTTGTGACTTGCACAAAAAACGGTACTACATCCTCGATTTGTGCAAGTCATAGACCTAAAACTGCAGTCTGAAACATGCTCTGCAAGCTCCACAGGAGAGTTAAATTTCATATTGCAGTGGTGTTCATTCTTAAAGTCCACATTCTTTAGCAAAGACTGAGCTATTGTTTCTCTTCTATCAAGCAACCAAAACCCATTTATTTCCATCTCTTGCACGAAATCATCTATCTTATCTTCTCTTTTTTCACTTAGCAACCATCCTGAAACCCGACTAAACAAATTTCTCTTGGAACTTGCAAAGTCATCAACAAAATCAGAAATTATATCATAAGGATGATCAGATACTTGTGCATCTGCGCCACCTTCTAAGATAACTGATTCTGCAACAAAATTTTCACTTCTCTGAGTGATATACTCCACCATCTCCTTTCTCACATCAGCAGCCACTGAAGCAGGGGTCCAGAAGATATCACCAGATGTATTGTCAACACAAGCTGTAGCTAATCCAGGGATGAAAACTTGAGCTATCTTGTGAACTAATTCTGTATCGTAAAGATCACAATGGAAGGCAGGACCTCCATCTTTCCCATCTTCTATCCTTTCTGGTTCAAGTTCCACATTACTTGCAGGTAGATCATCAATGGTTGACAATTCCTGCAAACAATTTCAGCCTTCAATACACCACTTACTTACCCAATAAGTTTCTATTTTCCAAGAGAAAGTTAATATGAAGAATTTTGTAGTCCACGTGTTCATCCTCGAATCAAAAAAGAAACAAACAAGTATGTATTTTATTGTTGCATCTGTGTGTGACTGTCAAAGACTAATACATGTTTTGGTCAGAAAAGACTAGCAAAGTATATTACCTAATGGGTTGATGCCTGTTGAGTTTCCCAGATATTATCATAACTTGTATTCTAAACATAACATTCTCGCAAAAGGGTTCGTCACCGGAATTAACAATACCTAGTATTCTGACTTTCACATGTTCATTCTAAAGTCTTTCTGAAATCAAGATCTCCATGGTTTATCTACAAGGCTTATTTACTCCTCGAAAATCAGAAATTATATCATAAGGATGATCAGATACTTGTGCATCTGCGCCACTTTCTAAGATAACTGATTCTGCAACAAAATTTTCACTTCTCTGAGTGATATACTCCACCATCTCCTTTCTCACATCAGCAGCCACTGAAGCAGGGGTCCAGAAGATATCACCAGATGTATTGTCAACACAAGCTGTAGCTAATCCAGGGATGAAAACTTGAGCTATCTTGTGAACTAATTCTGTATCGTAAAGATCACAATGGAAGGCAGGACCTCCATCTTTCCCATCTTCTATCCTTTCTGGTTCAAGTTCCACATTACTTGCAGGTAGATCATCAATGGTTGACAATTCCTGCAAACAATTTCAGCCTTCAATACACCACTTACTTACCCAATAAGTTTCTATTTTCCAAGAGAAAGTTAATATGAAGAATTTTGTAGTCCACGTGTTCATCCTCGAATCAAAAAAGAAACAAACAAGTATGTATTTTATTGTTGCATCTGTGTGTGACTTTCAAAGACCAATACATTTTTTGGTCAGAAAAGACTAGCAAAGTATATTACCTAATGGGTTGATGCCTGCACCAAGACCAATGCCTAGAAGAATGAAAGCTCAACAGGATTTAAGAAAATTCAAATTCAAATTGAATCAACACCAACACTAAGACCAAGACCAACACAATGAATCAAAATTCAAAAACGAAAATTAGCCTTTTAAGAAATACGTCTAAATTTGGCCCAATTTGCCATATATTTTTTCAACCCTTCTTGTTTTGTAACCCGTTGTAACCGTTCTGAGAGAAAGGAGGAAAAACCAAGGCACCGATGCACCTGAGGACCTGAGAGCAACTATTCATTTACAACCGTAGGATTATGCTTGGCCAGATCTAACGGCTTAAAATATGTGATAGATCCCATTCTCAACTTCTTGACCCGTTTTGAGTGGACAATCTGTTTGTTTTCTTTTGCTTTGTTTTCTTTTGCTCTACACGTTCACTTCATCTCTGACATTTCTCCCCCAGCTTCTCTTCTCTTTTCCAACTGGTTTAATCGACCGGGACTGTGTCTTACTCGTCCTCCCTTCTCACACTCTCTCTCTCTCTCTCTCTCTCTCTCAGAAAGCTTATTCTAAAGGTCACTTCACTTGTATGCAGTGCAGATCCATAATTCTGCAATTCCCAACACCAAGACCAATGCCTAGAAGAATGAAAGCTCAACAGGATTTAAGAAAATTCAAATTCAAATTGAATCAACACCAACACTAAGACCAAGACCAACACAATGAATCAAAATTCAAAAACGAAAATTAGCCTTTTAAGAAATACGTCTAAATTTGGCCCAATTTGCCATATTCTTCTTGCAACCCCTTTTTTGGTTGTAAATCACAGTTGAGTATTTGAACTTTGACTAGACACGTCGTTAGTGGGACTGGGACCTGAGTAGTCTCTGCATTAACCTTTATGTCGTGTAAAGCAAGCATTGGTTTTTGATGTTTGACGTGAAAGGAAAGAGATAAAATTTTCTTAGTTTTGGTTCTCGGGCAATGCTACTGTGATAATTTTTTGGGTAAGTGTGATAATTTGTTTTTCGGTTAGAGAAAGGCTAGCAACCTTCTCTTTAATCTTCTCTTTTGGACTTTCTCCATTTTCCTCTTGACATGTGTCATTTTCCTTACACTTAAAACAATGTCATCAATGCACCACACAAGCTAATTTTTCTTTTCCAAATTAACCCTTATTGAATGTGTTGTTTTCTTTTTTACAACAAGCTAGTATCTTAACAACTTTCTTTCCACCTTATTAAAAAATTAAATAAGAAAAAAAAAGGTTTCAATATAATAAAAAAAATCTTTGATTTTTGTTTTTTCATAGAATACATATGTTGCTAATAAAACCTTCAGTCCTTGCATAACTTTCTTTCCACCATATTAAAAAACTAAATAAGAAAAACGTAGGTTTTTTTATATTTAAAAAATATGCTTTTCGTTCTTCCAAAGAATATAGATTGTACTAATAAATTGTTGACCTAGCATAGCATGAACTTCTTTTGTAATTAAAAAAAAGTTCTCACTAAAAAAAAAAGAAAACACTTCTTTTTTTCAAAAAAATAAACTGAAGTTTTTTTCTTTTATTTATTTATTTATAATAAGGTGGTAAGAAAGTTGTGAAAAAAAAATCATTATATTTAATAAGGGTAAACTTGAAAAACAAAATTTAGCTTGTGTGATGCATTTATAACATTGTTTTAAGTGTATGGAAAGTGACACATGTCATAAGTAAAATGGAGAAAGTCCAAAGGAGAAGGTTGGAGAGAAGGTTGCTAGCATTGCCCTTTGGGTTAAGTTTGAATTTTTGAGTTTTCTTTTAAAAAAAAGTTAAAAATATAAGTTAAATTGTAGCAATGGTCTATGAATTATACCAATATGCATTTTCATCTTCGAATTCTACTTATAGTTGTTGTTGTTCTCAAATTATGTTATATGTTGCATTAATGGTCTTTTCTTTTTAATTTCTTCAAATTTTTTGTTAAGTTCATGGGTAAACTAAGAAATTATTTTTAGCCCATGTAGTAGATTTTGAGGTCAACTCGAGCTACATTGAATCATATATTTCCACTCATTTCCAGTCACCAGTCACCTTCATTATCGTATGATTTTCATTTATTTCTTGTTTTCAAACTTTTCTTTAAACATGCTCAATAGGTGTCAAACATGCTCAGGGCTTTTCTCGGGTCTCAAGGGAAAATTAATAGGTGTCAAACATGCTCAGAGCTCCTCTCGAGTTTCAAGGAAAAATTTAAGGGTGGGTCTTGACATTCACATAGTGGGTTTTAGGCATAATAAGCCCTTTACAAAAGACGCTAAAACAAATACAATATCTCCTAACTCTTGATAGCAATTGACTACTTTATCAAATGAATAGAAGTTGAAGTGTTCACACACATATGAAAAGACAAAGTAATAGGTTGTAGGGATAAAGATATTTGGCTAATTATTTTCATTGTGACTTCCATATAAAAAAATTTCCATCCTTAGTTTTCCAGGCTTAAGAATAAAGATAATTTTTGGAGTTTTGTGCATGATCAGATTTGGGTTTGGGGGAAAGAAAATAATGGCATATTTATTTACATAGAAGGGTACTAGCACTATTTTGATTCATGACTTCTTCTTTCTACTAAATTCATATATAGATTATTATAAATAAATCCAATCCTAGACATGTATTTATAAAAAAACTCACGCACTATGTAAACATAGAAACACACCCAAAATCAATCCCAAAATCAACAATTGTATATTTTTTGGGTGTGTTTATAAATGGGTTTTAAGTGTGTGTAATGATGGGTTTTGGGTGTGTTTATAAAGTGTTTTGGGTGTTGGGTTTTTTTATAATTTCAGCCCCCATTTTGGGTGTTTTAGTGAAACTCCCATTAATATATGGGTAGGCGTGGGCACGGTCCGGTTTGGTCCGGTTTGACCCTCAAACCACGGCCGAACCAATTACATTTTCACGGTCCGGTGTG